TAACTAATACCAGGAGCTGCAGATAGAAGATAGCTTAAGACTACATACAGGCTGATCAGAGGGAAGAGGAAACTAAAAGAGTAACATCAACTAAGTAAATCAGAAGTCTAATTATTGGACCCAGAAAATTATAGAAATCGTGATTGAGATCATTGCAGAAGCACTCTTAATATCAGATGTACAAGAGAGATAGTACAACAACCATATTCTATAACGGCTATACGAGAAAACCAGTTAGAAGAGTACCAGCCTCATAAGAAGTCAGTATGAAGCTCCCACCGGATTGTGTATGCACCAGAGGTGCAAGTATTATAATAGAGATTCAAATTATGGATGTGAATGATACATATGTGGAAAGATATGATGCGAGACTTTAAGGTAAGTAAGGTAAAGGTAGACAACATACGAGATACTCAAATGCAGAAGGTTGTGAATGGTCCATACTTCGGATAAACGACTAGAAGCACGAGGATTCAGTATCCAGGAATGATAGCAGCAATGTGACGTCTCGCTTGATGTTTCAGAATAACATAAGAAAATCTATGGTGCAAGCAAGTTGAAGGAAGGTTGTGAGTAGTATAAATAGATATGTGTAGGTCGTAAGCTAAAGTATGGTAAGCGACAAGGTTTTAGGAAGACAGGAATAAGGATAAGAAAGGGCGAAGTGAGAAGGTGATGAGAATCGATAAGTCCTCGGGATTAAGCCCATGAAAATAAGAGAGCTGATGGGTTCTTTAAGTTATAGAAAGCTCAGTATAACCTGAATAAACTCAAATGAGTCTAAGACTAGTAGTATTTAGAAGAAATAGAATGTTGCCCTGGTAGGAGAATGAGGATGATGAAGAATGACATTTGGGCCTTCGATTGAGTAATGATTTCATAAATTGTACAGGATTAAAAATACCCATGTAAGCTAAATCACATCGAGATGCTATGAAATACGGTTATGGAAGCATAGTATCGTATCGCCCCCAGGTGGATCAGGAAAATCACTTCAGATGTTCCCCGATGAGACATGAGCCCTAGTGATTACATAAAAGGTCAAGTTATTAATGGTAGATTATAGATCAATATTGAGGTGAATCAATAATAGATGGATAAAAGTTACAAAGTATGAGATGAGAATAGGCCATCACTCTTAAAATAAACAGTGATGAAGAAGCATTAAAGGACTTAGATTTATACATATAGGATAAGCAACAAAAGTAACCTGGAGTTTGGTAGCAGACCTCAGTAACGATAAATCGAAGTAAGAGTTATGGTATAGTATGACCTACCTTGATGCAGTAAAGTCATACGGATGGATAATCGGGTCTATGAAATAAGGTATAACAATATTCGTGAGTTCAACAAAGTACCGAGCGAAGAACTTCAGTATACCTATAGATGCCCAGAGGGACATCTTGTCAAGATCTGTATATGTTTATAAAGTAAGGCCTAGAGATTGGCTAACAGCTGGAGGGAAGAGTCGCATAGGCGCATATATAAGGAAAAAGTCGTACAGGCTCATGACAGAAGGTAGCAAGAGTTACAAGATTGGAAGAATTTCGACCACAGGCCGTGGTATGAGAAAGAGACCTACAGGTGGGAATGCCCTGACCTTTGAAATTATTCACAGAATAGTTTCCTAGATGGCAAGGAAAGTACTAAAGTATTCGGAAGACATAAGTTATGAAAATGATAAGTGCATCAGTCAACATTCGAGGACGCATGTTCCAAAGGGGAGAATGATATTACACCCCATATTTTTGTACGTAAAAGCACGCCATAAGTAAATTGATGAAAGCTTAAAAATGAGATATTACATCCCGCATTGTCGTACGTTAAAGTTTCATCGCAAGTTAATCGACGCAAGCACGGGATTGAGATTATTTTGAGGTTATAAGCATTTATGCTATTTCAAAATAAGTGATAAGTAAATTCGTGAAGATGAGAGGGTAAGCGAATCGAAGAAATAAGTTTCGTTGAAGTTTGACATTTTGGGATGAAATACGGTCCGAGCTATAATACCCGGTATTTATGGACTAGTACCATACAAGGTACCACATGACCATAATAGTAAGGTGTGCAAAGTGTGTTAAAAGTGAGTAGTATTTTAAGTTAGTTGAGATAATTCTTGATTATGTGAATAATTGGATAATTATTGATTTTAGTGGGAGATTAACTAATTAATTAATCATATTTGGATAAGGTTGATTAGTCTCCTAATATGGCGGCCAAGGGGTCTTGATTTTAAAGCCCAACTAATGGCTCATAGTCATTAAAATAAGTGGCAATTGGAGGATCTTTGGTGGCTAACTCATCACCTTAGTGGGGCCCACACCCACTAAGGTAAAAGACATCTTAAAGATTCAAAGAGAGACACATTTCAATCTTCATAGCAAAGTGAAGTGCTCCAGCAAACTCTTACAAGTGATGGAAACGTGAAATTGCTTCAACGAAAATCATACAAGATCCAATTATGTGTACGGTGCAATTTTAAACAACTTGATATTCTACAATTAATGACTCTAAGGTACGGATCTTCAATAATTCAAACAAAGGTTTCATAGCATCTTAAGCAACGTGAGATTTTGTAATTTTAAGGGAGTACGGTGCAATCTTTCTCAAGATTATTATACGAATTGTTTCCTACTCTGATCTTGCCATCACGTGTTTTGCCACAATTGACGTGTGTTAGAGGGATTGTCAAGAGAATCGACTCAGGTATGTTAAGGCTATCCCTTCTTTCTTTTGGCATGATCAATACGATACAAACGAAACGAACAAATGCACAACTTCCATAAATGATTCTACTTATAGAAATACTAGAGGTTCCTATGTTATTGATTCCCCATATGTCTTATTATTCTATCGTCTGTTCATGGGTCTCAAAAAATACGTAAGTTGATAAAATTTATTTCATGACATTAATCAGAGGCAAAATGGTCTTATGACATTTCGAGAGATTTTATTAACGCACTTCTCATGCATTGCATCCATTTACATTGACCCATGACCAGATGGCGTTATATATGCGTATATATATGTATATGGAATATGGAAAAAGGTTACGATGTTATATACGCACCACCACCTGATCAGCTAGTATACGTTGATGATTTGCCCATAATGGCCGAGATGATATGATGGTATGCCCTTAGAGGCTTGATGATGTTATGAACGCATATACCTATGCATGGTATAACATTTATACGCATATGCATGACATTATGAATATTAATGATTCACGGAGTTGTTCAGACTTACATGTTGAGTCTTTTACTCCATGTTTCTTTCATGTCTATTACTTACTAATTTTTATTCCTTACATACTCGGTATATTATTTGTACTGACGTTCCTTTTGCCTGGGGACGCTGCGTTTCATGCCCGCAGGTCCCGATAGACAGATCGAGAGTCCTCCAAGTAGGCTATCAGCTCAGCGGAAGATGTTGGTGCGCTCTATTTGCTCTAGAGTTGCTTGTTTGGTCAGTATGATTTAGACGTGTATTGTTTAGTATGGCGGGGCCCTGTCCCGACCTTTATGATAAGTATGTACTTTTAGAGGCTTGTAGACAGATGTCATGTATACGGATACTTGTATGGCCTTGTCGGCCTATGTTTTAAGTATATAATGGATCACATTGGCCTTAGAGGCCCGTATGTCACAGGTATGAGTTTCTGTATCAGGTTGGGTCGTTTAATGTCGGGTATTCCCTCATGTTTACTAAGTTTATCTCATGACGCCCCTTTTGGCCCACTTACCTATGATGATGTAATAAGAAAGATACGTTATGTTGGTACTCGGTTGAGTAAGGTACCGGGTGCCCGTCGCGGCCCATCGGTTTGGGTCGTGACATTAAGATAGATAATTTACACTAAGTAATGGTGGTCATCTATGATATGAAGCTGTAATTCTACTCCCAAAAAATGGGTGAGCCGGGGAAGGTTAGCGCAATAAAAAGAGATAATAGCAAAAGGGAGAACTGGCAAGATCTAAATAAACTCTTTGTATCGTTGAAACAGGGGAAAACTTTGATATCGTCGGCAGAAAAAAAGTTCCATGTCCAAAATGGCCAGTGATGACCTTTGCGATACGGTTAGTGTCAAAGAAATTTTCAATTGAGAGTATTTGTCGATCTACTTGATGCTAGGTTAAGAACATGATGAAGAAAAACAAGAGATTTATCATTTTTTATATTAATTATTTAAGATCATGTGCCAAACACATTACAGTTAACAATGATTAAGTACTAATAGTTATAATTAAATAAATCAACATGTGTCTTTTTGGTTATTGGCCATATGTAAACACTAAGTTTTTACCAATTAAAAACGGAGAGAGTATCTCATTATGGTTTTTAAAAAAAAAAGCAACAAAATGATCTCCAGAAAGTAAAAGTAGGAGATGCTGTTGAATATTTATCGGGACGTCGCAGAAAATTGGATGGCCAAAGAGGTCCATTTAGTAAACTACTGAGAAGTTTACCAAACACAGCGATCTCACTCACCCGCAGAGAAAGCTTTGGAATAAATTTACACACAACTACGACAATTGGCAAGAAGTTTCATCATCATTTTTTGGGTCTTCTAAATTTTAAGGAGCTAGACAATTACCGGGTAAAGCTTAAGATATTTATTGGTAGAATATTTTAAAATAAGACTTTACTAATATCTAAAAACTTCAATTTATTTGAACTACTGAAGGTAGCTCGAGTTGGACTTTCAAAAACTACTGTATGTAATGAATGCACTGCATTGTTAATGTATAAACGGCACTTTTGAAAGAAAAAGAAAACAGAAACACCCAATATTCAACCATAAAATGTCTATATATATACACGTATTTCCTCCGCATGGATAGTTCTAGACAAAAAGGTGGCCAAAGGGGAAAGGTGGCAAGATTCATCGTTGAGACAGTAGGTGTATTTACAGTTGTACCTACTTCCTTCGAAATCCATAACCACCAAAAACGCTGTGCATGCAAGTCAGTTATGCATATTTAAGTCTCCGGGCAGGTCTATCCGCCTCTTCGTCGACGGCGAAACAAATACCTCATCTGCCCTGCAACATGCTTGATCCTGGATCCTGTTGCTGGTCCTAAATTATCTATTTCACTACAATTCGCGGAGTTGACCACCTCTGAATCCTGGATATATAAGCTTGCAACTTCTTCACATGATGTTGAAGAAGGCACAGTTTCGTCGTTCCCTGTTCCAGAACTGGACACCTCCAAAACTTCAGGCACGGGCCTTGGCTTCTTTGCAGCCTGCTCTACTAATTGTGAAGACAATATCTTTTCATTTACTTTGTAATCATAGATNTACTTTATAATCATAGATATCAGTGGAGTTAACCTCCTTGTGGCACGAAGCAGAAATAGTGGCTGTAGTGGGTAGGTTATTTTCCAGACCATTCGGATCATGGTTTTCATCTTCCTCCTGAGAGTCCAAAACAATATAGCCTGCAAGTTCCTCTGTCGAAATTGGTGAGTCTGCATCAGGAGCGGAAACCTCCTCTACTTCAGCCTTAAGTTCTTCATCATCTAGTGAATTTGGAGATCGACATCCATAACTTTGACTACCTGGAGTTATCTTTTTGCTAAGAGGACTAGCTCTTCCAGGAAACATGGTTTCTGCTTTAGAACTGCTGGAAGCATGTGGTGCTGCAAAAAGTTCAATGGGCTGGCTCCCTGCTTTGATGGCTGGTGAGATAGACATTTGCTCCCCAATTGCCTCTTCCTTTTAAAAAATAATAAGAAACAAGACAACTAAGTTAACCACTGGAGATGTGCTCGGATGCGAATATAAACTGGATAAGAGACAGGAACATTGTCAAGAATGTGATAACTTCAGGCTAAAAAAAAAAAAAAAAAAAAAAAAATGAACGTCAGTGTTGAAACAAAAAATTGATTGCTTTGCCAAAGTAGTAGTTGCAAAGGCTCCTTTTCCTGCACCACACCAACCTTCATCGCTCAACATCCAAAGAGAATGGTAAGATAACCAACATCTGCAAACAATGAGGTTCTATAAATTAATGTCCTTGCCACTTTCTTAGTTTTGTCGTTCAAACCCTTTTCACAGATATTTCCCTGGAAAACAAGCAATCCCACAAAAGGGGAGCTGACGACTATCCATGCAACTATTTTGTGAAGGACTTCCATCCAGAATATTGGTTGTTATAAAAAGTCGAGCAAACTTAAGCATCAGAATGATAAAGATTGATTACCTCTATTGGTGACATGACATTCCTAAATGGATCCAGTAGTGCCTTTTGCCCATCATTGTCATAAGTAAGTGGCTTTGCAGAATCTGGTGCTTGCAACAAATCTCTAGAAACCACTTCTGATACTGCAGCACTCTTCAAACCCCTAATAAGGTTGGCTACAGGAGACATAGTAAGAAGTTCAGCCTCATGTGAGCTCAAGTCACCACCAGGACATGCTTCTCTGGCATTGCAAGTTTCCTGAGGAACATTCATACAAGTATTTTCCTCTTCTAAGCAATGTAAAGAATAGTTGTCATCACAATCAGCTGAAGAAACCTTCTGAACTCTAATTTTTGTAATTTCACAGATCAATCGTTTAATATGTTCACGTTTGCAATCAACATCTTCAGTTGAGAACCAATCTCCAGCAAGCTGAAAAATGGAATATTACCAAAAGTGCCAGTAGGACATGAATAACTATTCAACACAAGAAACAATAGCATAAACCCAGCAGCAGTCAATCACATATGTAACTGTCAAAATGGTTTCCCATCCCAATAATATTATTGTAGTCTTCACATCAAGCTAATGTTAGATCCCCACAGAGTTCAGTAAAATCATGCAATAATTCACCGATATCATAACAACATGATTACATATAGCAAAATGCAAGTAACATTGAGCAGATGCTCATTATATGATCTCAAACATTGCATCTTTTAAGATATAAGTTTGTGAAGAAATAGGTCAACTTCAGGATACTTATTCCTAGTCCAGTCAGACAAGTTTACCAATGACTCTGAATTTAAGTCGCTCAGCTCCGCAGGACAGTCAAAATCTAAAAATGGAATGAAAGACACGATTTACAATAGAGCCATGATTAATATGTCTTCAACTTATTTTATAGGTAAACAATTTTTGAACCCCTTTGCCACTACAGTAGAATCTTCCCGGATTAATACGTATTCAACTTTAACTATGAACATGAAACCTAATGAAATAATGATTCACAGAGATGTGAGAGAGGCAACATGTTAACAGATGATAACTCGAGAAAAGAGGCATCTTGTAGCCACATAATGCAACACCCTGCATGTCTGTAGCATTAGGCCTCAAGTAAAGCAAATGACACAACAATAAATAGAAGAATAAAAAAAGTTCTAGATAATGGGGAGAAAGACAAGCACAATGGATCATCATAACTTGTAGGCTCCCCTTTATGTAATTTCACTAAACTACAGGACAGGTATATTAAGATTACCCTAAGATTTTTTCTGGAGCTTTATTACTCCAAACACAATTTGATCCTATAGAAAAATGCCAAAATGCAGATATGTAAGTTCGTATAATTAAAGCTGCATGATGCGGTTCAGCAGTATCAACTAAAATTGCAAAGCACCAAATTTTATCCACATTGCATCACTTTTGGCAGCTCAATGTGAAGCCTTGTTTGCTAGTCTGGTTCCAACTTCTCCATAAGTGAATTTCTCTGTCCTGAGTCCTCTGTAGAATATTACCATTTCTTCTTCTTTCCCCTCGAATCTCAACCACCTCAAAGCTAGGTTTCACTCCTCCTTCTCTCCGTCTCCATTGTTTCAGTCCCGAAAAAGATTTTTTTTCCTCACTGTAAATGGGTCATAAATAGTGAATGTGTAAAGTGCATCCAGAAGAGCATGTAGGCAAACATGGGAGAATGCTTTTTCAACTTTTACCTTATCATGTAGGTAAATACTAAGATGCACTATTTGTCAAATTCCAAATTCCTATATCCTCAAGCACTTCCTCTCATTCTACCCCTTGTACTACCCAAGCCTCAAGAAAATTGTATACATTCCCCTTTAATCAGCATGCATACCAGAAAAGAAAGATATTCTCAATCTATTAATAAGACTGACTAGTACCAATTAATCAAAACCTGGAGCAGCTCTAGGAACAAAAGATAAACGAATTAGTCATAATAGAAAATTTTGAGAAGTATTTGAGAAAAGAATTCAATGCATGAGGAATAATAGCAGAAAACCCAGAAAAGCAAGCACTCATAAACAAAATGACCTTGTCGACTTAATGAGAGATGGCGATGGATGAAGTGCAAAAGCTTCTCTAAAGTCCAAGATATCCATCAGCTAACGCCCCCCCAACATATATAAAATGATAACCCCCGGTTCAATTCAAAAGGATATAACAAGGACGAAACAGCTTACAAATTTGGACGATGCAGTTATTTTGGAGAGGTTGAAGTTGACCGGAGCCTGCTCCAGAAAAAGTTCCACATAATGTAGCAGAAAAAGGCCACAATCAAATGAGTTTTCCTGCTGTGGCAGCTGGAAGCAAAAAATAAAGGTGTGGGGGTGTAAGAAGATGTTTTACTATAAAAGACAGTAACAAAATATTTGTTATGATTGTTTACTGCAATTTTTAGTTTCAAAAAGTATGTTTCAAGCAGTATGCATGCATGTTGCAATCACCAAAATTAACCCCAAGTCTATGAAAGAGACCAAATAGGAAAAAGAATCGATACTGCAGAAAAATTTACAGTAGACATTTGATAAAAACCCATTTGCAAAAGAATGTGGTCACTGAGTAACATTAAAAGTTGTAACTCTTCCTGTAGTACATCATTTTTCACAGGTGCCGACTCACTGTACTCAATTGAATTGTCCTCTAAAAGTAGTGGGATTCTTTCTTCTCCCTTTGGTTTATTTAAGTGTATGCTTGCCTTAGTCAGGTGCCGACTCAATTTACACAATTGAATTGTCCTTTAAAAGTAGTGGGATTCTTTCTTCTCCCTTTCGTTTATTTAAGTGTATGCTTGCCTTAATCTTTTTCTTTTTCCTTTTCCCCCTTTTTGTATAATTTGAGGAGGCAAGGTCAGTTGGAGAATTAGAGCAGAGTAGATTCCAGTTCTAACCAAAAGGGTCAATAAAACTGTCCAAGATACCACACAAACCCCAAATTTACAAGTATTCTAGTGATAAATGCTTAACTTTATATGGTATAACTTATAAGTAGTGCAAGAGCTTGGTGCTCTAGCATGCAATTGAAAAAAGCAGAAAAATGCTAGATTAGTAAACAAAAATATGTCAGGAGAATGCAAAGTTCTCAACTAACGGACTTTGCTGGATGAACTGCAGTTCAATCCAAAAAGCAGTGAAAATGCAATGGGGCATATCGTAGTAGAAGAAAGAGATGATTGCTTATCCAATAGTACAAGCCTACATCACATAGACCAAAGATTGAGTTTATTTTTCTCAAATAGTGCATAAAGACAAAATCAATCTGTAAAACTGTAGAGCATTCAGCAGGCATGAGGATTTGAAATTTGAAAAATCACAATTCTTAAATGTAACAGATGAAGATTTAAAAAACCAATTGTATTTTCCTCCATCAGCTGCACTTTATAAGGCCCAAGTGCTTACAGTGGAGATTAAAGAAAAAAGTGCAGGCAGATGATTACGTTGGAGATGTTGAATATGATTCAAAAAATAATTAAATGGCTAAGTAGGTGACTTATAAAGAGTAGTTAAATCAAGGATAAAGTAATATAAAGTACTATCAGGTACATTGTACTGAAAACAAGATATTTATACTGAATACAAAAGAATTATTCCACTTAAGGAAATTGGTCTAGTTTTTTTTCTTTTTTTTTTTTTGGAGGGGAAGTGTGTTATACTTGGTGGCCGGGCTAGCTTGCACACACCTCAACTGATCCAGGGGATAGTCTGTCCACCCCCCACAAGCACAGGTAGCCAAGGTAATCCCATCCACCAAGCCTTGAATAGATGGACTCAACAGCAAATCAGGGTGCTTTTTGTCGCAATTAGCATCTTACAAGTTGATAGTCTCTCATAATCTCAAGAGTTTTAGAGAACTCACTTCTTCCCATGTCCCAAAATAAATTTACATGTCCAGTNTTTTTTTTTTTTTTTTTTTTTTTTTGGAGGGGAAGTGTGTTATACTTGGTGGCCGGGCTAGCTTGCACACACCTCAACTGATCCAGGGGATAGTCTGTCCACCCCCCACAAGCACAGGTAGCCAAGGTAATCCCATCCACCAAGCCTTGAATAGATGGACTCAACAGCAAATCAGGGTGCTTTTTGTCGCAATTAGCATCTTACAAGTTGATAGTCTCTCATAATCTCAAGAGTTTTAGAGAACTCACTTCTTCCCATGTCCCAAAATAAATTTACATGTCCAGTCGAAGAATTAAAAGTTCTTTCCATCGCACTTCTAACCTGTGGTTTTGACTATTACAAAAACCTCCCCTATTCTAAATATGAATTTTGAGTAACAAATATGCCTTAATCCCAACCTAGTCCTCTATATGAATCCTTTGTATCTCTACGCTGTCAAACAACAACATACCCAGTATATTCCCAACGGGTGGGATCTGGGGAGGGTAATCTGTACGCAGACCTTTTTTTTTTTTTGATAAGGTAAATTGTATTAATCAAAAGGGAGAAAAAACTCCCGCATACAAGAAGTATACAAAAAAGTAGAGAATTTACATCAGAACATGATTCTCTACAAATGACGCCCAATCTTCTACACAAGTAGGGGCTATATGTGTGCACCAAAAAGCGATCAAAGATAAAAGACTATTCTTAAGCTGTGAAAACGGAGACTCAATCTCCTCAAAAACTCTCCTATTTTTCTCTCCCCAGACTAACCACAGGAGAGCTAACGGGGCGAACTTCCACGCCTTTTGCTTGCTTCTTCTCAGAAACTGGCCCAGCTATATAGCATTTCCTTTACAGTGTTTGGCATCACCCATTGAACACCAAAAGATTCAGGATTGCCCTCCACAAGCCCCAGGACACAGGGCAATGCAGCATAAGATGATCAACTTCTTCCCCTGAGCTTTTACAGATGTAGCACCAACTAACATGTGTAATTCCTCTCTTTCGCAGACTTTCAGCTGTCAAGATCACTCCCCTCGCTGCTAGCCATGCAAAGAAGCACACCTTCGTGGGCGCCTTAGGAATCCAGATCGATGAGTATGGAAAAGTAGCCTCCTCTCTCACCAACATACTCTAGTAAAAGGACTTTACGATGAACAAGTCATCGCCACGCAAACCCCATCTCCAAGAATCGCAAGATGGATGGGGCATGTCTTGCCCGTATAGCAGTGCCAATAAATTTTCGAGCTCCGCAATCTCCCAATCTTGCATGTTCCTTCAAAAAGAGAGGTCTCATACTATCCCCCTTCATGCTCCTTGCGAATCTGTTGGACCATCAATTCCTTCTGGTTTGAAACTCTGAAGACGTGGGGGAAAGAGACCCTCAGAGTAGCCTCTTCACACCACCTGTGATTCCAAAAGCTGATTCTCCTTCCATCTCCCACCTGTACGCAGACCTTACCCCTACCTAATGAAGGTAGAGAGGCTGTTTCCAATAGACCCTCAAAATAAGGATCCCTATGATGTATTCAGACCTATGTCTTTGCAATATTAGTACACAATTTATTGTTCGAGACCGTTAAGAAAATGGACATTGGGTTTAATCCTAAAAGCTAGCCCATGAGGTTAGGATTGTCAAAACAATATAAGAAGACAACAACCTACTCCCTCAGCAAACGTGGGACGCTCTAACAAACTTGACATGCTCAAGACCGTGTACTGTAGACAATATAACATAGGGGACTAATATTAAGTGAACCGAGAATAAGATTAGGTTTGGCTCTAATACCATGTTAAGAAAATGAATATTGGGATTTGGGTCTAGTTCAACCCTTAAAGCTAGCTCATGAGATGAGGTTTGATCTAGGAGAAAACAATCCACTCCCTCAACCAATGGAGTACAATCTAACAAGGCAAATTGGAGGTTCCTATAAGAAGATGGTCTAGATCTCACACTTATCCCCAATTGAATCGAATGTAAGTGTATCAACTAACCTTTAATCCAACTAGCTGGTATCAACTGTATAGACCCTTTTGTTTCACTATGTTCTGGTTTTAGCTAAGTTCACATGATTCAATAAAAAAGAATTTCTGCATGAATTGATGACTTTGCACTACATTCAAAAGAAATAATTTACAGTAATCAAAAACATCTAATAAACAGAGTCTTTTGGTAGTTAATTGATAACCACTTTAACATAAATAGAAAGGCACCCATGAAAAGGCCATTTTTTAACATATGCATCCTTTAATTGCTCAAGATTTACATGAACTATTTTTATTTTTATTTTATTTTCAAAAAATAGCTTTCAAAGCTTATTTATGATAAAATAAAGTTGCATTATTTCCAAGCAATAGAGTTAGACATGTTAGCAAAATCATACAAAAACAATGAGTTTCATTACGCAAAACATAAAACAATAGTGGTTTCTAAGACCACAGGTGAGGGGAGAGTGTAACAATGACAACCTCAAAGGCAAGTTTATGTAATAAACCTTTACGAAAATCGTAACAGCTTAGAAGTTTCCTTTGTCTCAATTTATGCTATTTCATTTTTGAGACTTCCAGAAATGCTTGACACTCCTTTAACATCAAAACTCTAGATACTTTTGAAATTAATATTTAGAACATTAACTATTCCTAGAAACCATTCTTTTCAAATATTACCTATTCGCTCTTCTAAAGCCACCAATATGATTAAAACAAGCTTCTCTATCTCCATTTGTCATATTGTCGATTCACAAAACAATAAATTTTATGAGACCAAGTTCACTCTATGTTTATAGTTACAGCCAATCTACTTCTTTTTGGTAACTAAACATTATATTAATCACCAAGTAATGAAATTACAAATCAAGCTTAGCTATCACAGCTAGCTACTACAAGAGAAAAAACATCTCATTTACCTTCTACCCATATCTACTTAATATATCACAATGAATAATTCCTTTTTTAAGAAAACCTCTACAGATTATTAATTATCAGAAACAAAATTATAATATACTTTCTATTCTATTGAAAAGTTAAACTCCCAAATAATATAACATATATTTATATTACTTCTATAACAAGTCCGACAAAAAAATCCTTGTAAGAAGAAAAAGGGCATAATTTTGTTTTTGGCCTTTTGGCATTGTAAATACGGCTTGCAGCACTCTCTTGATGTTGCTATATATACAACTGTTAACATTTTTTTTTAAAAAAGGTCCTACAAAAAATGGACTCATGAATGATTAAAATATTAAGCTTGATGTTAATAAGTGAAGGAGTTTCATAACTAGTAAGCAGGTTGCAACTAATAAATTTTTACTTTCCCAAAACAGTGATTTATTAGAGAGTCAAATAAATTTAACAGAATCTAAAATTATGAGACAAACAGTGCATCTTTAGAGGTTGAAGATGATAATATAACTGTAATTATTAACATATAAACAGCATATAATCAGTGTTCATTCTATATGTGCAATAAATAGATTTTAGAAAAGCTAACCATTGCTTTTGTTGACAATAACCGAAACTTCTCCTTTTGTCGATTAAAGTAATACGTCTTATTGAAGGAAAAAGCATTTTCAATGCACGATAGAGAGGTGGGAATGGAGTGATACCTTGAGACTGAAAAAGGGCAGATTCGAGAACTTCCTTGCAACATCCTCTGCTACTTCCTTGTGCCTCTCTTTCCACTCTTCCAATAAGTAACTGCACTTACAAGACATGAAACATTCTCTCTTTCCATTATAATCAAGAAACAATCTTAGTCTTTCATAGTGAAATCCTAAACGAATTTCACTAATACAGACACACTACCTTGTAAAGAGATCTCATATATATCATTGTTTGCAATATGCTCACTTGCATGGTGAATGACCAAATGCTATCACTAGACTATTGGTACAATGTACCTCATATAATATACGAACAGAGTTAATTTATTTTACATGATTGTGACTCAATCAATAACTACTCAACCTTGTGAGTCAAAGCAACTCAAACGGATTATACCTTTGTAAAAGATTCTTCAGGCCTTTGTGGCTCCCTCTGATTGAGTCCATGTGCAAGATACATGGTACCCTAGATGATTTCTCCATTTCTTCCTCTCCTAAAAACTTACCTCCAGTTATGAAGAGTCATAATAACTAGACACAGAAACATATAAGTCATCTGATATACCTCTAAAGGTAACAACCTCGCCAGGGTGACAGATGACTATCAAACTCCAGTGGAGACTGTCACAAGAAAAAAAATCATAGTGGAGAGCTGTACCATAAAAGTTTTAACATATAAGATGGCTCTATAACAGCTTCTAACCTGAAGTTGACCGGAATAAAAATGAAATCCTTTCCAAAAAAATTAACTTTTGTAGTCCATCTACGAACTCGCTGGAAAGCAGCTCTACCTTCACAAGCTCTAGTAGGATCTTTGTCCAGATCAGCAAGCTTTCTGAAGAAAAAGCTATTGAAAAAATGGAACCTATCTTTCTCCTCTGGATTGATTTTGTTCCTAAGATACCTGCAATTCATTTCATCAATCGAGTTTTCCTTCTTTCACGGTGTCAAGCAGGAGACAACAAGTACAGAACTTCAGAATAAATGAATGAAACATCTGTTTCATCAGCTTGAAATGTTGAAATTTGTGGTTTTACGCTTTTGAATGTCATTTTTTAGATGGATTTTTGTATGTCACTTTCAGAGCAATAATGCAAAACAGTACAGTCATAGACCAGAAGAAAATATTCTGGGCAGATCTCCAGTTTACTTTCATATGTGAAACGTTCGAACAAACTGTCTCTATATCCATATATCTATATATATAAACGTTTAGTTTACACAACACTTGAGCAACATCTGGAGATGGTATAATCTATAGAAAATAAGGAAACCAACCGATAGGAGTTTTGAAATACTATACCCTTGGATAACGATCGAGACACATATAAGGTAATAAAATTATAAAAGTAACATACGGTTTTTTCCATAAATAACTACCCTAGTATTGTCAGGGTTAATTTGTTCTCAGGCCCTGGTACTCTACAACATGCTTAGGTGTTAAAACAAGCTAACTATCAAACTTTAAGGATTGAACTTTATCTGTGTATTGAGCCTTAAAAGAAACTCCTGTATGCTGTGAACAGCATGAACTGGGATTACACAGAGGACCTGATATTCATTTACCATGGAGCCTATATACTGCAAATGAAGGTAGTTGATGCATGTTAACAAATATTTATAATCGGGAGGGAGGAAGGGATTCTGACAGCAATAACCAAATCTGGTTCAGATGCAACTACTATGCAATGAAATCATTAGGAGTCCATCAACTTTGACCTGTCCTGATTAAAAAGCTGAAACAAAATGAAGAAACATTTAACCTAAGAGTCACACAGCCACTAAATGTTTCCTTTTATTTGTGGTTAACAAAAGTAGATCCTACTTCCAGATGTTGATAACGAACCACATGCCAATATTTATACCTACAGGAATAACTAAGTTCACATAAATGAATAACCAAGATCCAGAAAGAAAGAAAAAGGAACCAAAAAATTAGCTAAATTTAATTCCAAACCAAATTAGCTGGGCAGTACCAATTGAAACAGGTACATATAAACTCACATAATGTAAAAGTCGATGATGGTATCATTGATGAAATTCTTAGGCTGTAATAGATCAACATCTCTCTTACTTATGGAAACTGCATCTGGATCCCCTTCTGGATAAATAACTTCTTCAAAGTTATCTCTGGAACATTAGATAATGAAAGAAGATACAAGAATCAAACAATGTGAAGTTACTTCAGATACACAGAAGTTGGAGGCATGCGTACGACAAATCTTAAGGCGTTAATCAGTGATCTTTACCCAATCCAAAGGTCAACAGTCAACTATCTTTTTTTTTAATTAGATTACTGTAAAAATTGAGTTTGAGGAATATATATCTTAAACTATAACTTTCAAACTACATGAACCCTTTATATGCCAAATTAGCTAATTACTAGTCATTGTTCCTGGCTCTACACCTCATAACTGCGTCAATCTTTTGGCAACAAAAGAGAAATGTCACCACAAAAAAACCTTTTATAATAATTCATAAGTCAAAGAGAAAGACATAAGGAACTCCTCTGGTTCCCGGGACCAGTTTAATATATAGAAATATAAGTGTGCATACTGTCAGACATCAGTAACTGTTTAAATCACCACTAGCAAATTGAAACAAAAGCTGTTCATTCTTTCGTGGCCAACCAAAATTAGACCTTAGTCAACTCGGCAAATCAGATGTACATTGAAAGGCGACAAGGAAAAGTATCTCTTACTTGGGATGATAATGCTTTGAAACTGAATTGCTTTTCTGCCCAAAAAATGGACTGTAGCTCCTCGTGCAATCAAGTCTGCCAAAGGAGGCATTGTAATGAACTAATGATGATATTAAAAGTTCCATCAAAGTGAGGAAAGGGAATTAACAGTAAGATTCTAAAAGCTACTCAAGGTAAAGTTGCTTTGGCGTAATTGGTAAAGTTGCTGCCATGTGACCAGGAGGTCACGGGTTCAACCCGTGGAAACAACCTCTTGCATAAATGCAGGGTAAGGCTGCGCACAATAGACCCTTGTGGTCCAGCCCTTCCCCGGACCCCGCGCATAGCGGGAGCTTAGTGCACCGGGCTGCCCTTTGTTCTAAAAGCTACTGAAGGTAAAACCAATAACAAATTGATCTTCATCATCCATTGGTGTTTAGTAGTTTCACTCACATCTCCGCCAACTGAGACAGTCAATTGGTACAGCAAGTGTGTCCTACAAGGCCAAGAGAATAAATCTAGAGAACTTTTTCAAACAAATTATCTCACAAATTCTAGTGGGGAAAAAAACTCTTCTGCTCCCACAGTCCATCAAAGAAGAAAACCTACTTTCTTCATAAAAGGAAGAGCATAATCATTATACACAGAAACACTGGTCTCACATTGAGCTTAGCCAGCCAAATCCAGAAAACAACGAAAGAAGTATCTCACAGATGTGCCTGAGGGGAGGAGAGGCTGTAGACAATAAATACAGATAAAGGAACAAAAAGTAAACTTCATTTTCCACTGCCAAAAACGAAAGCAAGATCCCAAAGGACATCTAAAAATAAGAGATGAACCATCAAATACATTGTTCAATGAAGAATCTTACGATGTAATGTCATTCCATTTATCTTTGTATCTCACATCCAGCATCTTAATTGCTTCTTGTGTTTCAGACCAATCAGGGTGGAACAAAGCAAACTTTAACACAACAGCACCTGTAAATTTAGAGGTATTCATGGAAACAAAGATCAATCACTTGTAGAATCACAGCTTTAAAAAACTACCAATATTCTCTCCTAATAAATTACACAGAAAAAAATCTACGTTTTTCAGTTTCCAACTCCAAGTCTCGTATCCCTCCAAAAGCCAAAAACTTGACCCATCACACAGTTACATGCAACAGAATCTCCAGTACATATATGACCAACAGATATGAATTTTGAATTTGAAAAATCTAGCATTCTCTTCTCCAACCTAATTCTAACAATTAATCTACCCTAAAGACAAAGAACGTGTTTCCTTTAGAGCATGAAGGAGGTTCTTTAGAACAACCCAGTAGGAGAGCATGACTTAGCTTTTTTCAGTTGCAGCTTGAGACCATGAAATTAATCTCAAATGTTGGGCATTGTAATTTAAAAGAAGGAAATCATTTATCTAACAACATCAACCGTTACGTGGGAAAGTATTCTATTGAAATGCACNAAAAATAAAGGGCGCACACGCACTATAACTCACAATTTTGTACCACATGGAGTTAATAGTGAGAATATCACAGTGTGTCCATTCATATGTAAATGGTAAGTTCATCCATTTGGAGGAGCCCTCAAGCTTTATGGAACTGCATGAAAAGGTCAAAATGGAGCTTGTAGAACACGTATCTCCATACTCGACACGATCAGGTTTAACAATCACCGAAATTTTCTGCAAAGGATAGCAAAAAGAAAAGTGAAGTATAAACAATAGTTTTCTGCAAGCTTTGAAGAAAATTCCAATTGTAACTTTCATCATCATTTGTGTTCAATTAACTTTCTAAAAGGATTGACCACCAATCGGGGAAAATCCATGCTCAACTCTTCTTTTCTTTCTTCTTCACCAGCTCTCGCCTACCCCCTTCATCACTTTATGAGTGGCAGTAAAGGAAAAAGCACCAGAGTGATACAACATCAGCAGTATTTTATATTCCAACATCAGTGTAACTTAACACATATCTAGAATAGAACAAACATCATATCCTACCTTATTTAATTGAGCTCAATCACATTATGAGGCCTGAACAATATCATGGGCGGAGAAAAAGTTCTTGTTAGGATCGGGAACCCGGGTAGTGCGGAATTTAGCCAAACAACGGTATAATGACAATAACAAAGACAATGGAAGTTGATAACAATGGCAATTAAAGCATATAAAGAAGACACAAATTTAACATGGTTCGCTCAAAGTGACCTACGTCCACAAGCGGAGAGGAGCAATTTCACTATACGAATAAGAGTACAAAAGAGAGTAAAAAATTAGAGTAAATACTCTAATTAATCCCAAATACCCTAAGAGAATAACCTCACAAGATCACTCCAAATAAAGGGTTCACAGAAGTGCTTCCCAACACTTAACTCTTATACAAAACACTCTTAATAAAGGAGTAAAGGAAGAAATAAGAAATGAAGACGTGTGTCTAAAATGAACTAATGGTCTTCCCTTTTATAGGCAAAAAAGTCTTGGCCTCTTAGGTGTAAAAGAAGAGATACAACTTGTGCAAATGACGTCCACCACACAATGCAATATTTTTGGGTCCCAAAGAATATTGCCAACAAAGTCTACACTTTGCAAAGATACTTATGCTTATGTGAGATGGACTCCATTAGCCAAAATATTGGCCATAATTACAAATCTGGTATCAGAGCCGGATCTAACCGGGTTAGTTTCAATAGTCAAAATGACTCTAACAAAGACCTATGTTGAGAAATTTGACCGAAGTGCAAACTTCGGAATGTGGCAAGTAAAGATGGAAGTTATCCTAATTCAGGATGGCTTAGACTTGGCGTTGCAAGGAAAGGAGAAGAAGCCGGATAAAATGACGGACGAGGAGTTTTCCATCATAAATAAAAAGGCAAAATCAGGTATCATTTTAAATCTCTCAAATGAGATTTTACGTGAAGTTTCTGTAGAAACCACAGCCAAGGCATGTGGGAAAAATTGAAAACCTTATATACGAAGAGGACGGTGGAAAATAGACTTTACCTGAAACTAACCCAGTTAAATCCGGCTCTGATACCAGATTTGTAATTATGGCCAATATTTTGGCTAATGGAGTCCATCTCACATAAGCATAAGTATCTTTGCAAAGTGTAGACTTTGTTGGCAATATTCTTTGCAAAGTGTAGACTTTGTTGGCAATATTCTTTGGGACAGCTTATACTTATGTGAGATGGACTCCATTAGCCAAAATTGGCCATAATTACAGTTCTGATAGAGGAATGGTGTGTGTTGTATTTATCGATATACAGCTTGAAGCACATGACCAATAATTTTTAATCGCCTATGTGTGTGATTGATGTATCATATGATTTACTTCACAGTTCATTTACTAGTTAAACTCAAGCTTGTCCTACATTATGGCACATGGATCCTCCAAAAACCCCTATTGCAGCCATGTGGATTCAACACGATTTCGGTGTGGGTGTCATGCCCACTGGATTTGGTCAATACATTTGGGGGTCATTTGGTTCACATATTAGTTATGCAGGGATTGTTTATGTGATGATTAATAATAAAGAGATTTTTATGCATGAACTACTTACACTAAAGGGCATTTTTGTTTTTAGATATTTAATACCTGCATTGCTAATACAAGTATTCTTATTCCGCATGTTATCGCGCATAACTTAATGCGGGTATTATTTATAATCATCACCAACCAAACGATGCATTAGTTATGCAAGAATTATTTTATTCTTATGCAACCAACCAAGCATTCCATTATTTTAAGCAGGACTTTGTGCGGAGATTATTATTGTTAAACCATCAGCAAAACGATACGAGCGCGCGCACTTGCACACACACAAAGTATCAGAAATTTTGATATCATTGGAGATATACTTATGGAACAAAATGTTGAATGTATTGATACGTACTTGGTATATATTTATTGGCAGCATCCAGCACCTATACCTGCAATCCTATCTGTATCCCCGAATCCTAAGATTTAGGTGACAGCAAATCCGACTTCTAGATCCTCACTCATATCAGATAACCACCCTCGTTTCCGTGGAACATACGTCCTACATATATACTGTTTTCATATGAAAATTTTTTACTTTTGATTTATCCATGATTTTTTAACAAAACCTATTAGCTTTCTTATATATTTTATGATTAATGACGTGCACAGATCCTTATGCATGCCGCTTTGCAGTCAATATGGAAGTTCAGCCATGAAATATTGCTGAATGAAAGAAGAAACGCAGAGAAGCTGCATCTTGGACTAGCAAGTTGAGTACGCTGCCAGCTATGATATCACCACTAATAGTTCATGAAACCGACTTGCGTAGGAGTTACAGAAGAAGCTAGCATTTTATCTCAACTGTACAGCTTATGTGGGAGCAATCACTATAAGGTGGCTTAATTTTGGAACCTAAAACTAAACAGGAAGCTAAGACAAAACAGAACTTAGAAAGGTTAGGTTTTCTGCCTCTACACCACTAACTAAGCAAAGCTGGTCTGGAGAGAAAAGTTATCTTTGTATTGGAAAAAGTTGTTGCTTTAATTGCTCGATTTTGCATTTCCAAGGGCAGTTATTATTATTATTATTATTATTATTATTATTATTATTATTATTATTATTATTATTATTATTATTATTATTATTATTATTATTATTACTATTATTATCATTATATTATTATTATTATTATTATTAAAGTACAGTTAGCCTAAAGGTTAGCAGCTACACCAAAGAAATTGTGAACAACACATCAGCTGGAAAAAGGATTTATAGTCAATGAACCATCATTTAGAAAAATTACTTTTAGATGCTCAAAGTTATGATGGAGCAAACAAAGCACAGAGGTTTGCTCTATCTGATACAAGAAGTAATATCATTTTACTTCTGAAGAACAAAGTTATTTAATTACAGCAAAGACTACAAGAGGCATGCTCACTTTATCACATAGATTAGGACTTTGCATCAACTCTTGCTGGTTTCCTGAACCTAAAATGATTAAAATAGAACATCTTCATAAGCAAATAAGTGGCTTTATATGAGCAACCGTTGAAAATATGAAATGATATAATTTAAACAAACCCTTATTTTCTGGCAGATAACAGGCTGGCTTGGATGATTCGATTTCAGTAGCATCATCTGAATCTAGAATAACTGGCTCATTCTGCAGAAGTTTAGGATGGTATAGTCATAAAGCATTCGTTAGAAGTATGTAAAGTTTGAAACATGAGAAATTGAGAAAGATGGGTACATCAGCAAAAAGTTTTCCCCTAAAACTTTTGCCATCAGTGACAGAGCATCCAGGTATTTTCGCTCTTGTTAAATGGGATTTGGCCCCAGAAGTGTCACATTTTGACTCAAGATGACCAAGAGAATAATCCGTTGAAGGCTTCAAACTTGAAAAGCTAGATGCCACAGTGGCACCTGACTCCAATGTCTTCTTTTCTGCAATATCATCACTATCATCAATGTGTAGGATTTCATTCACTGAATCATTTTCTGAACTCCTTGTTCTTCCTTCAACTAAGGAAAATTTGTTAAATAGAATATCAGCACTTCTATAGTTTAAAAGAAAAAAAAGTAAAACTAAAAGCCTGCTGGACAAAAACAGGGCAAAAGTTAGCAATGAAAAAAAATACCGAAAGGAATCTGCAAACAGAAATAGATGTCACCTAGTTAAGCCAAATATTTTCACATATCTTATAGAAATGTCATTCATCTTCAATAAATTCAAAACCAAAAGCATGTACAATTTTAAGAAGATGGCTTCCTTTAGTTAAACTAAGTAGGATGAATGCAAAAGCATTATATATGTTTCATGGAGATGTATCAACTTAATTGAATCCATAAACACTATTATTGTATACTTTGAGCAAAATCTGATAAGAAGAAACTGCAAGAATAAGTTATACGACAAAACTTCTGTTTCTCAATTCCTAGATATATGCATCAACTTATTCTCGTTGTTGATACTTCCGGTCAATGTGTCCGTCACCCCCCATGTAGTAGTGCAAGGTACATGCTCAACCGGAGTACATTCTCAGTCTTCGTCCATTACCTTCATCCCTATGTTCATCACTTTTATTCCTTTTTTTTACAATCGTATTGTTATCTTTCAACTTTTATATTTTCCCCCTCTTCTTAAATTAGACAAAACTCAGAAGTTGCAATTTTACTTCCTGCGGTAGAATGATAAACCAAAAGCATCAGATGTATTATGGTTCCATTACGTCTTTTTTCTTCCTATTCCAATACTTCATGTTTCGAGTGTCAAGATCAATTTGAAATAAAACAATGTTTTGCACTAGTACAATAAAAGAGCAGCAAAGTAAAATAACTACATTATGTTCAATCAAAGATTGTACGCTGGAAACAAAAATTAGGGTTTTGCAGAAACGTACAGAAACCGAGAAAGGTGTACTTATCAATCGGGGAATGGATTTTCTTAGGTTTTTGAAGTTTAAATGCTTGCAATAACTTTTTGGAGTGTTTCTCAACGCGCTCATCGTCAGGGTTAAACTCGAAAATGGAGAATTTGTGATTGCTAGTGCTTTGGCTGTTACTGCTACTCGTCTTCTTCTTTCGGCTATTCCTCTTGGTCATTGTGGACGATCGTAACTTTTGCGCAGCCTCAACGGTACCTTTGCCCACTTTCCACGCCAAAGATTTTGCCTTTCTTTTGTCCCAATTTAAATGATACTTATAAGTTTACATTTGAAAAAGTTGCAAAAGATTCCAATTTTGTAACTCGATTCTAATTAAATACAGTTGCATACAGTGAAACGAAACACATTTTTATTTTTCGTACTTTCTATCACCGAGATCAAGAATGGTTCTTCAAAATTCCTTGAATGACTCAAAATTCTATTTAAGTTGGAGGTGGAGGGGCTTACATGTAAGCCAATGATTAGAGTGGTCATTTGGTAGGCAAATCAGGGGCAACATTTGGTGGTGGGTGTTACTATGAATCACACAAAGATGTTAGGAGTTGGGTGCAAACTGGCTCGGATGTCATTAAAAAAAATACTACATATTAAGAGTAACATAGAATAGGGGTAGAAAGAACTACACATATTTTAAAGTGGATTGTGGTTCTTAAAGTACATAATTCCACAAAACACCTTTGAAGGTGTTGGCCGTGGACATCCTTTATTACCTTCAATTTTATACTCCCCGTTCCAATTTATGTGGCGGTGATTGAATTTCGAGAGTCAAAATAGAAATTCCAAGTTCCGCCATCATCCTTGACCATAGGAAAATTATTAAATCCTTACAACGTTAAAAATGAATCAGTACAACAGTAAGCATAAACTAATAATGGAAAGGATTTGTAGAAACTATTCTAAACCTTTCCAAAAGTTGAGTAAGTGCTTCCCTCCAACAGCCCATTTTAGGAATCAACTAGGTAGTTTTACTGAATGTAAGACAGAATTGACTTCTACTGACTTATACTTGCAGCATAATGATGTGGATACAATAAGCTTATTCTTCAGCAGTAGCACTTGCAGCACTCAGGTCCACTGACAAGTCAACAACCTAAACAAAAGAAAAATGCATGAATAAACAACTAATATGGCGTAGAAATGTCAATAAGTTCATTACACATACAACCATTCACGCAATGTCAAAAGAAAGAAGATATATTTGTCAAACAGTAGAAGATAATAAGTTTAATTAGAACCCCTTTTTTCACCAGAAACTTTTGATAGGTTGCTTCCATATTCGAACAAAAGTGTGCTTGGTTGTTGATAGACGAAGACTTGAGTTTAACAGTATCTTTTGATGATGCATGGATATACAATGTGTGTGCGTTAAGTACTGCCTCCAACATTTATTTAGTTGAAGGCAACATTGTCAACCTTATGTCAGACTCAAGTATGCGTGAAAACACTTGAGTCTTGATATATGTGCTATGTAACTGCTGCATTTGTCAACTGAAAAGTCACCAGATAACCAAATTCAAACTAGAGTCTTACCTTTCCCGTTATCTTGCTGTACATGTCTAGCACATCCATTACCGTAGACTCAAAGTGTGTCGTTGAATCATAGCTCTGCAAGAAAGGATAATACATAGTAATCAGATCAGAAAACAAATTTCCACTATGAACTGCAGACTAAAGTATATAGAGACATTGGAGTGGCAGGAAAGAAGTCTATCATAGAGTTTTTGGACTTTAACTCTCTATGCAAGAGAAGGCATGCCTAAGCTTCTAAGACATTACTATTACAATTAATTTTCCGCCTAAGTGGTATTACTAGATTATGAACGGTTCCCTTGAGTGGCAGTAATTTCACATAATGTGGGGCAAGGTCCAGTAAGTCAGAGAAAGAAAATCAAAGTGCCCCTTCGCTTTCAGTGATGCTTCTATACCATTCGAAAACATATACATAAAATATCATCTAATTCCTCGAGAGAAACAAAAGCTTGTTGTACTAATAAGTAATAACACAGTCATATGTCTTTCTATATTTCAGAAGAAATAGTTGTATGAAATAGAATAGAAACTAGCAACTAATATTGGAACTTACTTTAGATATGAAACAATTATCAGCAGCAGAGTCGTGTGAAGGTACAAATTGGTCATAAGTTTCATAAAATATCTCATCTACAGGCCCAAGTATGTCTACCCCAGGCTTCAGTTCTGTCTGGGGGTCATCAGTTTTAGCTTCTGTCGAAACAAAGGCAATATATTTCCCTTTTGGAGCGACATTGTGGGAGTAGGAACAACAGAACAGGTACCTGTAACCGGCATGTTGAATAAGTAGCTGTGAATTACTTTTCAAGTTCTCCAAACAGAAGAAAAGGTATAGTGAACATGTAACGAAGTCTAGGACTTAATAAACAGTGGCAGTCACTTCTCAACAATTGTTTATAAAAAAGAGGACTTAATTACTAGTCAGTGGCATATATAAGCAAGGTCAAAGTTAGGATGCTCTGTACTCTTTATCTTTAGAATCAGGAAGCTTGCATTATCAGAGACATCCCGCTATAGTACACCACAAAATAGGAAATGATAATTCAGTAGACTATCTGGAAGCCTAGAAAACATACATGTCTGATTTGCGACCAAGTTGCTTCTGTGGTAAAATGACCTGGGCTGAATGAGAATCATTAGTGTCAGGGATTGGATGGCTCATTATACAAATTGCACGAGCAACTTTTCCAACCTTCTGAACCTGCATTATGTATTGGTATAAATAAATTGTCAATCGAAATAACCAATCTGATCCTTTTTCTGCTCAGCAGATGATTAAGCAAATTTTCAAGACATGAATCGACAGTGCAGAAAGCCTGGACATATTAGTTTTTCCGAATTTGTTAATTGTACCTTATCAGGTAAATAGGAGGGATCACAAACAACTTTCTTGCATTTAGCAGTTTCTCCTTCAGAAGTCACACCGACTACTTTTCCATTTTCATCAAACTCTACCTGCAATCCCAGAACCCGAGTGTTCACATAAACTTCAAATTTAATTCAATGAGTATGTAAGCCATGTAGAATTCCTCAGCATTTGACATAGAGCAGCCAGCTGAGTGCATGATCGTCTCAGCTTTCCTTATAAAATAATATGCCATACTTAAGATTTGTGATCCTGAATCTCGTTTCAGAATTGTTTTTTCCAATCAGGAGAGAAGAGGTGTAGATGTTAGGTCACATTCTGGTGCTAAAACATTTGTGAAACTTACCTTATATGGTGATAGTTAAGCATCCAGATGAGCTACAGATGGTTTTGATGATTACCTTACACTGTGGCTTGTTAAGCATGTAAGTTCCACCATAAACTGCACTCAGACGTGCAAACGCCTGAAAACATGTGCACCAATCAGATACAGAAAAAAACTTAGATTTGCTCAAATATGACTGACAAGAGATATCCAAGGAGACAAACCTGCGGTAATTCTCCCAGTCCATACATTGGATAAATATAGGGGGATCCTGCTTGAAAGCGTGCTAAAGACTCTGCATATAGCTTTAAAAACCAAGAGACGAAGTAGTCATTAAGTAATTCTTTAAACAAAGAATTTCGATAGTAACAAATAATCCTCTCATAATCAAAAAGAAAGAGGAACAAGGAAAAAGTAATCCTTGTTCAAGCACTGTTCATCTAAGTGTCAAGCTTATTTTATCTCAAAAAGAAGAAGGCATATCTTACCTTATGTAATTAAACAATTTGGTTTTCGTATGAGTTGCAAAAATAGTTCTATTCATATGAAAGGAAGTGGAATTATCATCACAGCATATTTCTAGCATTTGGCATTTCATTTATATCTTGATTGTGATAATGCATTCATTAGAACATTTTACGGAAGATCTACCATATGACTATCAGTCAACAACTCATAAAGTAATAATAGTTTAGGACACATCTTAGATGATAGGATTATATCAACACTCTATTTTACTTTGCAAAGGTCTTCAATCCATGGCAAGAGAGAAGAAACACAAAAGAGAAACAGAAAAAAGCCTGATGTCTTGATGCCGAAATCAAATCTCTAATCATTTAAAATGCATTTTCAGTAGGCAAGACGATATTGATTAGGTCCTTGCAGTTATCTGAAAGAGTAAAAGATTTACCTCATCTAGTCTAGTAAAAAGGATATGATATTTACAACCAGAGGAGGGTTACAATTAATACCTAACCTAGAGTCTTGCAACCGAAGAGACTTGGTGGTGGACATAAGAAGACAGTAATATATAAACAATTTAAGTATGTGGGTTTTCTCTCATCACATGAATAAAATTTGTATGAGGCTCTACACTCCATATGTATAAAACATGGTAAAGTTGTAACTTCCTTAATTTCTTCTTTTTTCTCTCATGGTCATGGAATAAAGCATACCTATACCATGCTTTCAATCAGATTTAATAACTGGAATAAGTCACACCTAGCTCATCAGCAATCACAAACCAGACATTTACACTGTCATGTAAAATGTGAAGTTTTAAATGGCGTCAGAAGCAAAATAAGCTAGTGATAATATCTTCATCAAAACAATTTTATATACTTTCTGAAATACTAAGCTGATCAAGTCAAACTTAATTTGACACCTTTACTCTCTTTACGAAATCCATAGCTGGCTGGTTCAAATAGTTATCATCTGTATAGAGTGCCAAGGCATGTCCAATAAAGTCAATGGTATCAGCTTCAAGTTCATATTTCCTGCATAAACAATATTTGCCAAGAACAACTTACCAAAGAGTGGAAGAAACTGTTTATTACTGGGGATGCAGCCTTCACCAATATGTTTAAGCAAGGCAATCAAAAAAACATGAGGAAAGAAAATTTACGCAATGAATTCTTTTGCAGTGATTTTGTTCAAATCCATCCCTTCATGAGTTTTAGGATCGGTCTCTTCAAAATCTTGCACATAAAGAAAAAACTTCCGAGCTCGGCGCTTTTCGAAGAGCCCCATCAATGGGGATTTCAGGGCTTCAACATCAGTTGCTGGAACTTTGTAGATCTAAAGATAGCAGTTTCACAAGAAAGTTAAGTAAGAATAAGAAGTTTTCTACCAACAAAAACCGGAACGGAAGTTACACCTCATAGTGCTTTAACAAACATACCTTCCCTTTGTTGTACACAAAACTACCATCTACAGCCTTGAAGTTCAAATACTTGGTAACATCGGTGTGGATGAGCACACGAACCAAAGTTCCATTTGCCATTGCAAACTACAATACATCAGGAAAAGCTCTAAATCCATATTTGTAAAGTATTTGATATAAATCAAATAATAGAGGCCAATAATCAAACTCAACCAAATACAGTTTGGAAGTTGTCATGATAATAAAAGAACTCTTTCAAGCCCAACATCTTTATTTCTATAATTTCCTGGCCCTTTCATGAACATAATCTGTCATCAATAGGAAGTTAAGATGTTTTATGAACTTACCTAAAGAAGAGCCTACTCTTTAATTGCACCAGTGTATCTGGTTTCAATTTCCTTTAAAATAAGGAGCATGCTGTTGAATCTACTTGTCTGTTTCATG